CTTGTGCCCCTCTGGCTTTCTTGCTGGCTGGGCATGAGAAGCTGAAAAATCCTTGACTTTAGACTAAACACTACTTAGCAGCAACTGAAAACATCAGTGTTATCAACATTCTTCTGATACTGAACTCAAAACATAGCACTGTACCAGCTACTAGGAAGACAACTCTATCCCAGCTGGAAGCAGGACACCAGTGTACAGAGGGAGCTGACGGAAACGCTCACCAAGCCACTTTCAATCATTTATCAGCAGTCTTGGCTAACCGGGGAGGTCCCAGTTGACTGGAGGTTAGCAACTGTTATGCCCATCTACAAGAAGGGCCAGGAAGAGGATCTGGGGAACTACAGGCCTGTCAGCCTGACCTTGGTGCTGGCGAGGGGGAGGGTTGTGGAGCACATCATCTTGAGTGCCATCACATGGCACGTACAGGACAACCAAGAGATCAAGTGCAGTCAGCATAGGTTTATGAAAGGCAGGTCCTGTTTGACTAACCTGATCTCCTTCTATGACAAGATGACCTGCTCAGTGGGTGAGGGAAAGGCTGTGGATGTTGCTTACCTGGACTTAAGTAAAGCCTTTGACACTGTTTCCCACAGCATTCTCCTGGAGAAACTGGCTGCTCATGGCTTTGATGAATGTACTGCTTACTGGGTAAAAAACTTTCTGGATTGTCAGGCACAAAGAGTTGTGGTGAATGAAGTTAAATCTAGTTGGTGGCTGATCACAAGTGGTGTTCTAGAGGGCTCGGTATTGTGGCCAGTTCTGATTGATACCTTTATCAATGATCTGGATGAGGGGATTGAGTGCGCCCTCAGTCAGTTTGCAGACAACGCCAAGCTGGGTGCAAGTGTTGATCTGCTTGAGGGTACAAAGGCTCTACAGAGGGAACTGGACAGGCTGAATCAATGGGCCAAAGCCAATTGTATGAGATTCAAAAAGGCTAAGTACTGCATCCTTCACTTGGGTCGTAACAACGTCATACAACACTACAGGCTTGGGGAAGAGTGGCTGGAAAGTTGCCTGGCAGAAAAGGACCTGGGGGTGTTGGTCGACAGCTGCCTGAATACGAGCCAGCAGTGTGCCCAGGTGGCCTAGAAGGCCAACAGCATCCTGGCTTGTATCAGAAATAGTGTGGCCAGCAGGACTAGGGAAGCGATTGTCCCTTTGTCCTCGGCACTGGTGAGACTGCACCTTCAATACTGTGTCCAGTTTTGGGCTCCTCACTACAAGAAAGACACTCAGGTGCTGGAGTGTGTCCAAAGAAGAGCAGGGAAGCTGCTGAAGGCCCTGGAGAACAAGTCTTATGAGGAGCAGCTGAGGGAACCGGGGTTGTTTAGCCTGGAGAAAAGGAGGCTGAGGGGAGACCTTATCGTGCTCTACAACTAACTGAAAAGAGGTTGTAGTGAAGTGGGTGTCAGTCTCTTCTCCCAAGTAACAACTGATAGGAGGAGAGGAAATGACCTCAAGTTGCGCCAGGGGAGGTTTAGACTGGATATTAGGATAAATTTCTTCACCCAAAGGGTTATCAAGCATCAGAACAGGCTGCCCAATGAAGTGTTTGAGTCACCATCCCTGGAGGTGTTTAAAAGACATGTACATGTGGCACTTAGGGACATGGTTTAGTGGGACTTGGTGGTGTTAGGTTTACAGTTGGACTCGATTTTAAGGGTCTTTTCCAACCTAAATGATTCCATGATTCTATGAAATGCATGGAAAAATAGCAACATATAGTCAGACCTACAGCACTGTAATTGTGTTATGGCACTAGTGAAGACTAGTAGAAGAATTCAGAGTTGAAAGTGTTGCTTTTGTTTAAGGCATACAAACCAGGCACCTTTACAAATTTGTGAAGGTCTTCCAGAAACTTCACTTTGGCCACTCAGTAACACCATCCTTGAAAGGCTTTGAATGTGCCTTGGGATTTAAGTAATCTTTGTGATCTGTACACTCAGAGAGGACGATGTTACTGGCATCAGTAGGAGTGGGATGATGAAGTCCAAATGAAATATTTCAAGTGCAGATTGAATGCATGGGGGGGGTTTATTGCTTTTAGAACTCTTAGTATAGCTGATGGTTGTATATTGTATCTTCAGGTAAATCTGGAATAATCTTATTTTCATCTTCTAGGTTCCTTCCTGCAGTAGCTTAAGAGCTCTGTATGTGCCCAGAGAACAAGGCTGAGATACCAATACTTTCAAAAAAACTTTCTTTATCTGAATATTCTGGCATTTGGATTTTTCTGTGCTAGGTTTAGAAATGGCAGCTAGTTTCTAGTCTGTAAACAATGAAGCATGAGCAGCTTTGTGGGGGCGTTCTTATAACCCAGCCAGAGTGTAGAAAGTACTATATGAACCTTTACACATATAACACATTAAATTTGTTTGAAATAACCTTTTTCACTATTTAATGCATTCTGTTACCTTGAAAACTTAAACGGAGGAAGCTTTGCAGTGGAATTTCCTTCATCTCCCTTCACAACAAGGTCTTGAGTATCCCTCAGTACCAGGGCATGAGATTGAGGTAGGAGTGGGTGATAAGGAAAGGACCTTACAGAACTCTGGTTTTACTGATCTGGCCTATGGATTAGATGGATGTCACACAACAGAAAACACAATATCCATATGAGTGTGTCCTTGGAAAGTCTTAATGGTCTCTGTTGATTCTCTGTTCGGAGCATCTTTGCAAGGTGTATGTGGAGGCCTTCATTCACTTAATAGTCGTTCAGCCCTCATTCAATGTGCAGTGTTATTTCTAATCTTGGCTTAGGGTGGAAGCTTCTGTTCTCCCTGTCTCTGAAATTGCGTGCAATTCATTCTTGCAGAGGGGGGAAGCAGTTTGGTGGCTGCTTCCTGATAAATTTTGTCAGGTGCCTTGCTTAACTGTTTTAAGTAGCCAGTTCTGTGTCTCATTAAAACCATTAACTCTTTTTGACTCCAGACAGTTCAGGTGCTGAGCAAACTTAGAGCTTTACTTCTGTTGAAATGTAAATCATTCTTTCCTTGCAGAGCAATGCAAATGTGCTTGGGGAAGTAGGAATGCTTCTTTGTCTGTGCAGGCTGAGATAGAAGCCTATTTCATCAAAACTGTGTTATATAAGACCTGGTTTAATACATGAGGCTCTGGATTATATGCAGAAATACTAATCACTTGGCAGATCTCGGGTTTCTCTTCTTTGAGTTGCTGAGCTTACTTCATTAATCATAGAGTTGTGAGGTGGTCTTTACCGCAGCAAGGGCACTTCTGGATTTGCTGGATTTGGGGCGTAGGCATTCAAGCTTAGCTGTGGTCTACAGACATCAGTTTACCAAATTGCTTGACTGCAGATGGTCTCAAGCTAGCTGTATAACTGCTTATTGCAAAGAAAAAACAGTGGAAAATTCCAGTCAGAAAGTGCCAGTGGGAACATAGGAAATCAAAATAGCAAGTATTGTTTGTGTGTATGAGACACAAAGACTGACAACGTCAACCAACTGGGACAAACCAAACATTGAAAAACAATGAAATACTGTTTAGGGTATGTCTGCATACTCCAAAGGAGAAATTGTTGCAGTGGGAGGAGGGAGAAGGGAAGACTTCTGTCTTATACAACTGGTATGGTATGGAGAGGTGAGGCTAATGAGGGTAGAGGTTTCATTCGGATTGTCTGTAATCATCTGTTTATTTAACCTCTAGCTGTTACCTCAAAGTAGAGGGACAGGAAACCGTTGTGCAGAAGTGTGCTGGTTAACAGAAATTAAAATGTAAGGTTGATATAGAGTAGATTTTAAGGAAGAAGTGTAATGTTGGGTTGAAAATGCTTTCTAATATGTTTTGGAGTACGCTGAATCTTGTAGCAGACTGCTTAAATAAGACTGTAAGTAATTTTGATGTAATCAGTCAATGGTGAAAATAATGATTAAAATACCTATTCGTGGTGTAGAATTGCCTTTGACCTTTTAAGAAGTCACTCCCCTCTGAAACTGTAAAGGAAGTAGCATATCTGTTTCTAATATTTATATGTGATTCCTCATTATACTTTCTATTATAGGAAAAACGACTAAACACTCCAAACTTGGTCTGCCGAATAGCCTAATTATTCCCTTCAAATAAGACTGGAGGACCTACTCTTTCTGTTGTTGCTTATTCAGATAAATGTAAAGGTTTAAAAGGCCAGTTGTAATCTTAAAAGAATGAGTAATTGCTTTATGCTCCTGGTTTCTGTGTTGGAAGTCACTCTTCAAAGGCATGTCTTTGAATATTGTTCAGTCTTGCTTTGTTTCTCCATGGGCACATTTTCTAGCAACAGTGGACTGGAAGTGTCAAATCTCCCAGTTCCAAGGACTAATGGGTCCAGGAGCCCTAAGCAGTTATTTGACTAGTTGTTCTTCCTGGTCATGCATCTGTCATCTCACTGCCTGTTGTGTTGGTGGCTGATAAAGCACTAAATACATCAGTGCTTTTAAAGTAGTCTCACACAACTAATCCTGGCAACACATCCAACAAGTGTACAGTACCCCAACAGTGGTCGTAGAGTCACTATAAAAGGAGTGATTGAGAATATTGTTAGTGGGGGAAGCTGAGTTCTCTTGTACCTTTCTGTGATTTTGCACAGTCTTATTCTGTTTTTCCCATAGTGACTAGCATTGTGGGAATTACTTGGCACTTAGACTTCTCTGTGACTGCAGGATGCACTCCAAAGTGTTAAGAAACCATCAGGCAGGAGGGACTTGTGATGCTTAATTAACTATAAAGCCTTTTCCTTTCTTGACCTTGTGGCTGTTGCCACATACTCATAGTCTTGCTTCTAGGCCAATGTAAGAACAAATTTAGTAATCGCCATCTGGTAAAATATTGCTTTAAGCATGTGTACAGACTGTTTTCCTTTAGGCGTGAGTTGGGGACAACTACCAAGCTCTGAGGTAGTGGGCAGTCCCAGATATGTTCAGCTGCGAAATGGAAAGGACTGAAATGATTTTTTTCCACTAACTTTGCTTTTTTTTTTTCCCCTTCCCACCCCCCCCCAGATAACTGTTATCTTTAAATCATACCAAGACTGTACAGATCAGAAAGTATATCAAGCAGTGACTGATGACTTGCCTGCAGCTTTTGTTGATGGTACAACAAGTGGAGGTGATGGGAACACCAAGAGCTTGCGAATTGTGGAGAAAGTCAGTGGCAAATACATCGAAATGCATGCCAGGTACATTGGGACCACCATGTATATACGCCAGCTTGGGCACTACTTAACATTGGCCATTCGCATGCCTCAAGAATTGGTGATGGCCTATGAGGAGAGCCAGGATCTGCAGCTCTGTGTGAACGGTTGCCCTTCAAGTGAACGTATTGATGATAGTGGCCACTTACCATTGCCTGTAATAGGGCAGTTGCTCCCTCAGGGTGGTGCTGCTCATCCCTGGTCAGTGTACACACTGGAAAGTGCCACCACGAAATGCTATGAGAAGATGCTGGTGAAGGACATCTATTTTTACTCATGTGTATTTGACCTACTCACCACTGGTGACGCTAACTTCACAACTGCTGCTCACAGTGCCTTGCAGGATGTGGAGGCACTGCACCCCAGAAAAGAGCACTGGCATATCTTTCCCAGCAGTGGAGGTGTGGGCAAGGGTAGCAAAGTATTTGTCAGTGTTGGACTTGTGTGCTTGATCCTTATTGCATTTTTGTAGGGTTTTTTTGCTTCTAACAAAATTTTGAAATATATATTGTCATAATATATTGAGTAAAGATGAGTGTATATGTATATACCATGTATATGAAGGGATGTTTTGTTTTGGGACACCCAACAGATTGTACATACTGTGTTAACTGTTTTCATGTATGTTTGATGTAGTATTCTTTGTATCTATTTGTTTTGCAGTTGGTGAAATGTTTTATAATGTCCCTGCATGGGGACCTGATAGAAAGCACTTTATTTTTTATATATTAAATATTTATGTGTGTATCTGAGTAACTATGTATTATTCATATAAACTTGTACATACAATACTCAGCGCTCCCTGTAAGTACTACTTGGTTTAACACATTTTTTTTTAACTGGATCAATTTGTGGGTTTTTTCTGTCATTTCTCTTACTCTAGAGTCTTAGAGTCTCTTGTCCTGTAATAATGTTGGTGATTTGCTGGGTTTACTAGTTAAAATCATTAAGAATGGGATTGTCTTCTGTCCCTCAAACTAATGGCCATCCTTTCTTTGGAGGGAGAAAGTGAAGTGCTTCCCATTAGCTCACATGACCGTCTTGGATAACATGAATTACAGAACCTTCTTTGTAATTTTGACATTTCCTAGTTTCATGGCATGAGTTTCAAAAGAAGAAGAGGAAATGTGTTGGAGTGAGACTTACAAAGCTTATTAGAACCAGTGGAGAAGATGATGATTTTAAAAGATATTAGTGGTCTAGTTGTGTAAGCATGTAATGTAACTATTGCAGCTGCCTCAAACCTCTAGGGTTAAGTCATTCTCCAAGATGGACTGGAGAAATCACAAGCCTGAATTCTGTCCTTTGCTTAGGTGCTAATTCAGTCTATACATTCAGGAGGAGGGGAGTGACGCCACAGGCTCTGACGAATGTTACTGAGGAGCTAGAAGAATGATTTGGTGGCCTGAAGGTTGGTTTTACTTAGTGCCTTAATCTGCTGCAAGAAATGGAAGCTTTAATACATGCTGTAATAAACCCAGCTCCAAGATGGGCTTATTTCACTCTCAAAACTGTTCATCTGAGACTGGACTGACATGTTAGAAGTGCTACCTGAGTAAGACTCAAGTAGCACTTACCTTTGTTAAGCAAACGAGCTAGTCCTTGGTGGAGGGAGATGGAGTTCATTCGTGGAACGAAAGTTCCTAGGTTTTATGAAGACTCTTGGCTGGGTTAGGGACTGTTGACTGGTAAGGACAGCAGCAGTCTTCTCAAATAAACTAATTAATTCCCTGTGTTGATGGGTAACTGCATACAGGTGTTATTCTGGGAATACTTGAGATTAAAGTAGTCAGAACTGAGTTAAGGCTGAAGGTGAAACTTTATTTTAGACTAGACTATTGGCAGCTTCTTGTGTCTGTGCTGTCTGATGGTGTTGTTTCAGATGAGTTAGGCTCGTGGACTTATGATATGTCTGATAAAATGGCTCATGTGGTTTCACCTGATGGTGACAGGCTTCTCCGTATTTTGTGTGGCTCAGCTTCCTCATCAATGTTCTGAATTTAAAGTTCTCATGGCTGAAAGCTGACAGATGAACCTAGTTTTGCTTGCAGTGGTGCACATACTTATTGGGCAGGCACCATATACTAGTTAATTTTCTCTGTCCCTGGATCATATATATGTATATGCATATATATGCTGTATATATGTATACTAACATTGAGTTGTGAGCCTCTCAGATAAATAGTATTTCAGAAATGTAGTAATTCCCCTAAAGAGTTTCCCATTTTCTTGCTCCTGCTGTGGAATTTCTTGAGAAAATGTTATTTGCAAGTGTACATTCTTGAATTCTGCCATGGCCAAGAGAGCTTTAGTTAATATCAAATGCGGATATTTTGAAGGTAGTGAATGGTCTCTGGAGAAAACTTAAGCTTAGAGGGAATGTTTTTTTTCACAGGCCCTCAAAATGGCTGTCTTTTTGAAGGCTATAGTTTTTTTTTTTTTTTTTCCATGCTTGGAAACCCAACAATGTGTCAGTCTTTGCAAAACCTTTTAGATGTGGTTCATGAATATACCAGTAAGTATATGTTTGTGGAAGAGTGGCTGTGCCATCTGTAAATAGTTTAAATTATTATGATAGAAGAATAAAGTTGCCTACCCTGCTGAGGAACGTCTGTAATGTGTTAGTGACCCCGATGGGGTGCATAGAAACTGGGGATGTGGGCCACGTACTGGGCAGGCAATCTATAAATAAAGCCCCAATTTGTCTCCTAGCCATCACTTGTTGGATAGGATTGTGCTGAGTACGGTCATTATACTTCTTTGCAGATGCTTGTTTCCCCTCTGCTAAATAAGCTGTGTAGTGAAATTTATGACCAGCAGCTGCAAACCAGGCCAGTTTATTGAAGAGGCAGTGTGTGGGAAACTAACAGCAGGAACCATCCCTTCAGGATCCCACTTGCACAGTTCCTTTGCAGTATTTGTGGAGGTACTTAGAAGAGCTTTAACACAGTTATTTCATATTGCTGCATCCATCTTGAGAGCCAATATGAAAATCCTCTTTTAAAGTTACTGGAGAAGTCGCAGACAAGAAGAACCCTGGAAGAGAAAATTACTTGCTGTAAAACTGAAAAAGAGATTGAGGCATTGAAAGAATAAATGATATAGAAGTCCATAAGATTACAGATCTTCATATAACAAGATGATCTGCTAAGTATACATGGGAGCCTGTAACATTTCACCTGCAGGGCTAATCACACAGTATGAAGGCAAACTGAAAGTGCCAAAACTTGAAACAAGTTATGTCAGACACATACCAAGAAACACAACTTTGAATGTTGTTTTGCTAAGCTTGTATTACAGCTAGAATTTGAGGTGTGTGTGTAACAGTCTTACATGGTAGATACATCATTGAAATGCTTTGTGGAAACCACTGTAGAAAGCAAAGGGAGCTTTAAATATATGTATGTCTAGTGTATACAGAAGGAGGCCATTGAATCTGTAAGAGCTTACTTTCAAAGGTGTTGATCTATCACCACAAGCTCTGCAGAAGGCAATATAGCATGATCATTAGTATTTTAATGCAACAAGTAGTAAGCTATTACTGACACTGTCTGTTGTTGGCCTTTGTCTTGAGCTTAGCTTGACTCCTTGGATATTAGTGGCTTATTCAAAAGGTTATTTTAAGTAATCCTATGCTAACAGAGCTCTTAACAGCAGCTGAGGATAGTTTTCTGTAGTTGTGGAGTCTTGACAAATTCCCTAGGAAGCATGTCACAGAACCAAGCAGAGAACTGGGTGCTTAATCCTACATTTTGTATGTACATACAGCTCCTGAACAAGGGTATTATAAAAGGGAATATGCTCAACTGACTGTCAAACCAAAAATTATCTTTTTCTCTCTTCCTGGAAAACCTGTCTGGAAGTATAAACTGCATAGACCACCTGTTTGTTCTTATGGTCAAGTTAGGGCCCTTCAGTAGTGCATTTCCTTTCAAACTTCTGCTGTACTGCCTGAAAATAGATCACCAACTGTTTATGTTCTCTTACCTTAGCATTATGGATACCATGCAATTTATGGGTTTTGAGGATGTGCAGGTGGCTATTTGCTTACATACACCCTGAAGTGAAGCAAGCAATGTTAGAAGCTTTGCACTGCCTAATGAAGGTTTTACTAGTGGATGTGTTCTGAAAAAAAGCCCAAGTGGTTTGTGGCTTTCTTCTCTTTTGACAGACTCATAGCACAGTTTCAAATCTTGCATTCATTTTCTTCATGTAAGTACAGCTGCAGTGTTTTACACTGACATTTTCATGCTTTGGGTTATTTTAATTCCCATCTGTATCTTGACTGATATAAACTGTATTTCTTTCTGTCTTTTCCTATTCTAGCTATTAAAGACTACCATCTATACAATGCATAGACATGACTAGTAATAATTCCCTTTTTTTAGAAGGTATTCTTTGTTGTTTTTTACAAGACAAGTATTCTCTGTGTTGTGCTGCTAGTTCTCTCCATCTATATTCAAAACGAATAAGGATTGTGTGGGTCAATGTTGTTCATTAGATTTTATCATTCTTACTAATTAGCTGTTTTAGAGAGCAGTGTAGCCACAGATCAAGTACAAGTATGCAGGTAAATTTTTGTGATGCTGATGTAAAACAATTGCATCTGATCTGATTTAGAATTCTTTTAATCTGACTATGTTTGTAAATTACACTTCATTGAAATTAAAAGCTGCTGGTAGTAAATCAACTGTGAACAGTAAGATTTATTACAGACTTTGGATACATGCAGGGATATGTATCAGAATAGATAACTAGATATAAAAAGGACTTAATGTGAGGCATATGGAGTGCCAATAACTTTTCTTTATAGGAATTATTTTCATTATTATTAGAGTTTTGAAGCTTAATTTCCCTTTTTTTCTACACCATAACAGTAGAAGAATATTCCATTATATAAACGAAATGCATACATGTCATTGATTCCAGTATGTGCTGAGGGCTGCGCCTACAAAAGATTTTATATGTCTAGTTGGTGTGTGAAGTGTTTAAATCCAAAATTGAAATACACAGTGAAGCCTTCTCAACTTGAACCAAGACATTTCTTTAGGATCTCTATTTCTCTCATCTTAATCCCGCAAAGTCCCTCAAAGAACCTGTATTTTTGCTGCTGAGCAGAGAAAACAAATGCAGTCTTGAGTGTTTTACCTGCACCCTAGCCAGATTCATGTGTTGTTCATCTGCTTGGTTTACTTGCAGGACTTTTTTTGGCAGGTACCTGACTTGCTCGGTCCATGTTTGGCAGATGATGGGTAAGAGTTATTACAGTGTAGTGGTGGTGAGCAGTCTGCCAGAGTTTGGGAGAGGCAAGTTAAAATTCCTCTTCTGCCTTTATCTTTCACATCTTGCGAGAGTGCCAGTGCCCTAACAGTCAGGAGCTATTATCAAATAAATGCCATTCCGTGTTGTTATAAAGTGATAGCTTTATCCAAACAAGGTCATGAGTGCCTTGAAGGAGATTGGTGGCATACTTTATGCTTGAGAGTTATTTCACATAAATTCAGTAAACTAAACATGCAGGCCTTCTCTCTAGTGAGTGGAGTAAATGGCAATATTGTAGGTTGGGTTGAATTGTCTTCTGGAGGTGCCTACTGATATCCTTCAGTAGAGGAGAGACCCAGGCAGCTAATTTTTAAATAGCTGAAGTCAGATAAATTAGTCCAGCCCTGATGGGTACATCTTAAATTCCAGCCTAGGTTCCTATTCAGGGACGACTTAGTCGAGACAAGCCAGCTGACCCAGCATTTCCTGCACAGCACCACATCCATCTCCCAGGCCTGACTGATAGATACACCTTGGCCTCTGAAAACCTCACACCTGACCTT